TCGTCATAAGCTTTTCTCTCTATGTGCAGGTTATTTATGTACTGTTCTAGTCACGGTATTGTACCTCTTTGTTATTTAATTCTTAGCAGCTTTTGAACTGCAAATATCTTTGACTTAAGATTTAATTTGAACCTGCCAGATTTTAGTATGATCTACTACCACTAGTAGGCCCTGCTCACATTTGCCTTCATTTTCACCTGCTACACCTCACTTTTGTTCCAGTATATAAGGGCTGGCCTCATTCCTCTACTTTTGCCTAAAGTTAAAGAACTGCTCACCCTGAAATTACCTGTTCATTTCTGTTTTCTGTGTTATATTCTTCTGTATTCGACTGAAGAAACCTGTTGATCAAGCGAAATGTTTCTTAACCGTCTTGTCGGTATTGTATATAACCGACAAAAATATGCAATTTGCAAATGATAAGTTGTAAAGGTAGTGATACCTGCAGAAACAAAAATTCTTCATTATAAAGGCAATGATTCGTGGATATTCAAACATCCGAAGATAGAGGTAATACCACCAATAGCAAGCCATTTATTTAGCTTTTAGGAAAGTACACTTGAAGGATGAGTGGTGCTGCCCAATAAACTCGCTACTAGGAGTAAAATCTAAAAGCAGAATTTCTTGAGATTTACTACTCAGAACTCCTCTTCTGAGAGGCTGTCGACGTTCCACAGCTGGAGACCTGGAGGCTTAAGATGAGAGTAGGAGGAGTAGGGAATCCCCACCACGTAGAGAGTAGTGAAGATTGAGATGGTTATGATGCTCACCCCCTCGTGATGGCCCTGGACAGACTGCGCCCACCCACCCACACAATCAAGCAAAACAAAATACTGCCTCCCATCTGGTGTGCCTTTCTCATTGGTGTCCTGCCTGTAGTAGAACACATAGAGCTGCTTTGGGTTGAGTGAGGGCATGAAATCTTCATTGCAAGGATTACCCAGGAGCGGTGTTGCTGCGGTAATGTTGTTAGAGAGCTCCTGGCGCCAGGTAGGCAGCTGAAGTTTTGAAACTCCGACCAAAGGCACGCCGGATTCCCGGACCATCGGCCTGCCCACAAAGGCCACCTCCGCTAACAGAGAATGGTAGTTGGTGCCCACGCCATAGTGAGAGCTACGGCCAACTTCCGGAAAGACGCATTCTCTTCCTCGCCTGACATTCATGTAAAGCCAAAAGTCATAGATTATCATGTTGGTGTTATGCTCGTCTTCCGGCCACTTGATCAAGGCTTCCTGGATAAATTGGGGCGTCACCGCGTACCCCCACATGACCTGAACGGAACCTCGGAAAACTCGTGAGGGATTGAAAGTTCGGTTAGACACACCTGTGATAGAGAAAGCATTGATGCAATAGATAGTTGGGTCAGCGTGGAGCAGCCAGAGAGTCTGGCTCATGAAGGAGAAGAAGTCTGGCGAGACTTCGACGTCTTCATCGAGGAATATGACCGCTGGAGCGTCGGGGAAGGTGTTGACTGCTAATTGGAAAACACTGCGGTAGTAGCGGAAGAGCTTAGTATTGTCTTGTCCCTGGATGGCAACTTTGGTGAAGTTGATGTCGAGAAGACGAAGAAGTTGTGTTGTGGACGGCGGGGCATCACCGAGGACAACGAGGACGTTGTGTTGTTGTGCCCCTGGTGTGGCCAGCAGGGTGGTGAGGGTGTGGTAGAGATACTGGTGTCTATTACCTGCTGTCACCACCACACCCACCCCAGCAAGGGTCGTCTGCTGACCCACGGGTGGAGCAGAGAGCAATGGTAATGGGTCTGGGGACCACTCATCACAGAGCCCACCCATGGCACCATGAGCCTCGCAGTACTGCCAGCGCTCTTCTTCAACCCTCTGGTTCTTGTTGGAGTTCCATGGCATCGGCATGTGTGACAGAGGAAGGATGAGGTGCGCCTTGTGTTGAGCGATGCCTTGAAGAATAACAGTCTCTGAGATGGTGCGTCCACCCTTGATGAACACCCACGTCCAACAAGCCCGGGGCGTGAGGTAAAGGGCAAAGACTGAACCCAAATGGGCGAGGCTTTGAGCAGCGTGACGAAGTCCAATAGCGCCAAACACTGACACCGTCATCACCACTACCCGCCCCGGTGCCACGCGCTCCAAGTGCCACTCCAGGTCCGCCCAGTGAGCCCAATACAACCCAAGTGGGAACACCTGTAGAGAACATACAGTATTAGTATTTATTATGGAAAACATGGCATCCTTGACTAGACCTTGACATAACACTGTAACACATTAGGGACACGAGTAGCAGCGACCTCCACTTGCTGAGTTCTGGGTATTTTGAGTGACATAAGACAGATCAACCAGGCAATAATAGCTGAGAGCTGCTCACAGAATACATTTTAACTATATTCAATATGTACTTATATGGAAATATGCTGAATCCCATCCCAGTGGTGCTCACCACGTAAAATATTCCGCACGACCAATCCGGATTTAGTATCTCTTATCAATACAACAATAACTGCTTAGATGAGAAATTCTTAGTAACATTTTTAAACACTGTTCACTTTACCCTCTGTTCTAGTCATGTGAAGTATACATGTTTATAATTTTTACAGTGATGCCCATAGCAGCATTCTGCTACTACTACTACCACCACTACTACTACTATTACGACTACGATTACTGATATTCTTCTACTTCTAAATAATGCGAGATACACACATACCAGCTAACTCCTACTGTGGGAGGCTACTGTCTGCCTCCCTCATAATAGTATCTATATTTACTGCCTTCAAGAGAGAGCTGGACAGATACCTAAAGTCGGTGCCGGATCAGCCGGGCTGTGGCTCGTACGTCGGACTGCGTGCGGCCAGCAGTAACAGCCTAGTTGATCAGGCCCTGATCCATCGGGAGGCCTGGTCGTGGACCGGGCCGCGGGGGCGTTGATCCCCGGAATAACCTCCAGGTAACCTCCAGGTATGTACAAGGTATACAATACAGGCTTAGGTGACATCAATGACATGCTACAGTATAGAAAGCCGCTTGTTGTGCAGAGTACTTCGGGCAAATTAGGTCAGTTTTGTCCCAGGATGCGACCCACACCAGTCGACTAACTCCTATTTTACTGATGAGGAACATAGACAACCGGTGGAAGGAAACACACCCAGTGTTTCTACCCTCGCTGGGAATCGAACACAGACACCCTCAGTGTGAAGCGAGAGCTTTAGCCATCAGGCCACGGGGCACCAAGATTAATACCCAACAGCACTTGGTGTTCCCAGGCGGTCACCCATCCAAGTACTAGCCAAACCCAACGTTGCTTAACTTCGCTGATCGGGCGAGATGCGGTGCGTTCAACGTAGTATGGCCGTTGGCGGTGAGAAAATGCGTAATAACACCTAGCCTGAAGGAGAGGCAGCTCACTGCCACAAGCCTTACTACTACCACTACTACGACTACTACTAACTCTATTACTACTACTTCTACTACTCTTTTTACTATTACTTATACTACTACTACTACTACTACCACTGGTACTGGTGGTACTACTACTACATCTGATAATAATAATAATAATAATAATAATAATAATAATAATAATAATAATAATAATAATAAAAATAAATTGAACCCTGTAAAACACTTGTAAACTCAGGCAACATCTGTCCTCCCCTCAGCACACACACCATTTATTATAAATCAAGAAATACTTGGCAATATATTTGTTTAAATTTCAGTGCTTTTTTTTTGTCAATTTTGATTACGTTTACTCCATACGTTAGACCACTTTTATAATTCTAAAAGAGCTGACCAACCCTTTGATTATAGACTTCAAAGTGGCCATTTACTAGGGAAATTTTATAGGGGAAAACATCCTTCTGATGTTGATTGCTCTCACATTTGTGAAAAAATTTGTAACGGGACATAGGGAAAAGGAGACGAAAATTGCCACTCGATATATATATATATATATATATATATATATATATATATATATATATATATATATATATTATATAATATATATATATAAATGTCGTGCCGAATAGGCAGAACTTGCGATCTTGCCTTAAATAGCAACGCTCATCTTGCCATACAGGACAAGCGAAAATTTGTGTATGCAATAATTTCGCCAAAATCATTCAGAACCTAAAGAAAAAAATATATTTCACTGTGTTTGTTTAGTATTAAATTACTGTAAACAAATCTAAAATATATTTAGTTGGTTTAGGCTAAAATAAATTGTTCTTGTTATAATAAGGTTAGGTAAGTTTTCTAAGATTCTTTTGGTGCAAAATTATAAATTTTTGCATCAACATTAATGAAAAAAATATATCTTTAAACGTATAAGAGAAAATTTTAGGAAGGACTTAATTTTAAATGAGTTCTTGCTAATTGACCAGTTTTACATATTCGGCACGACAATATATATATATTATATATATATATATATATATATATAATATATATATATATTATATATATATAATATATATATATATATATATATATATATATATATATATATATATATAATATATATATATAATAATATAAATAGGTGACATTTATTATATAGATTAAGGGTAATAATACCATGTGGAACAATTCACAAGTAACTACACTACACGGTAACTATAACGATCATATCGACGTCCTGGACAAACGTCAGGTCTGATCATTTCATTGGTTGGTTGGTAAAGTTAAAGGCTTGACACAGGAGTCATAAGGAGCTGTCAATTCAGCACAGTCAAAAGAAATATCAGCCTTAGCCAGGGATCAATGTAAGGTCTCTTTATATGCACGAGGATACATCCATCTCTGTGTATATACCCTGCGAGGCACGCCACCAACGGGTCATTATAAGGCTAAAACTTGCAGAATATTACAACCACGTGGTCACTTACCCTGTGGAAGATTAGAGCTGGTTTCCTCTGATTGATTACGGAGAGGGTGATCCCTTCACCCTGAGTGGGTGGGGTGTGTGGGTGAGCTTCTTTTGGGGGTAGGTTGAGCCCTTGGGTGATAAATGGGGGAAAGGTGACACAGGTGTGGTGGTAGGGGTGTGGGTGGCACCTTTCCACCTTTAAACCCCATCCATTCGTTGCTGACCACACCTCCATACTGATACTACTACTATTGTTGCTACTGATACTATTGCTATTGCTGGTACTACTGATGCTGTTGCTATTACTACTACTACTGCCGTTGCTGTTGCTGCTGCTATTAATATTCTTGCTACTATTACTGATACTACTATTGCTGCTGCTATTACTTCTACTGCTACTATTCCAACTGCTATTGCCTCTGCTACTGCTGCTATTGTTGCTACTCCCACTGCTGCTGCTGCTGCTTTTGCTGGAGTTTCTGTTAATATTACCACTAATACTACCAACATCAATTCCACTAAAACTGCTACTATTACTAGTATTATTTTTCATGTTTCTTCTAGTGCTGCTGTTCGTTGCGTTTTGTGTTATTCTTGTTCCCCATTCACTGTTTCTGCTGCTGTGTCTGAAAAATAAAGCGGAGATATTTTCAAAGGCTCTTCGTTTAAGTCAAAACTAAGTGTGTGAAAAACTGATTTAAAACTGGTAATTACGATGTCTATTATCAGAGAAGCACAATCAACAAAAATCTGTTTATTTTTAGCTGTTTACGTACTTTGTTTGCTGGGTTGTCAAGAAGTGATGATGGCTAGGTTGTACGTAGTGGTGGTCATGGTTTGTTGTGTGGTGGTGGTCAGGGTTTGTTTGTGTGTGGTGGTGGTCAGGGTTTGTTTGTGTGTGGTGCTGGTCAGGGTTTGTTTGTGTTGGTGGTGGTCATGGTTTGTTTGTGTGTGGTGCTGGTCAGGGATTGTTTGTGTGTGGTGGTGGTCAGGGTTTGTTTGTGTGTGGTGGTGGTCAGGGTTTGTTTGTGTGTGGTGGTGGTCAGGGCTTGTTTGGTGGTGGGTGGGTGGTGGTGGTGGTAGGGTTTGTTTGTGTGTGGTGGTGGTGAGGGTTTGTTTGTGTGTGGTGGTGGTCAGGGCTTGTTTGTGTGTGGGTGGTGGTCAGGGCTTGTTTGTGTGTGGTGGTGGTCAGGGCTTGTTTGTGTGTGGTGGTGGTCAGGGCTTGTTTGTGTGTGGTGGTGGTCAGGGCTTGTTTGTGTGTGGTGGTGGTCAGGGCTTGTTTGTGTGTGGTGGTGGTCAGGGCTTGTTTGAATATAATGGTGGTTGGAGTTGTGGTAGATGCTGAAGATCATGACAGCCTGTACGACCACAACTGCAGCTGCGACTACGACAGTTGATTTACATAAACTCCTTGTCTTCTCCATCTCCAGTACATAACAGTGTCCCCAGCTGCTTCTAAAATACATTTTTATTATTATTATTATTATTATTATTATTATTATTATTATTATTATTATTATTTATTTATTATTAACACATGGCCCTCTCCCACCGAAGAACGGTTGACCCGAAAAAGAAAAACTTTCATCACTACTCTATGAATGTCTCTTGCCAGACACTAGTCAACTACTTTATTATATTTATGATTATTATTAATTATTTTATTTTATTGTTATTCTTGGTTTTATTATTAGTAATAGTAGTAGTTGTATTACAAGTAATTTTTCGTTTGATATGAAACACAACAAACACATTTGATCAAAGCTTCAGAACGCACCTCATCATCGCTCACTGAATCACATCAATTCGCCACGTCACACAACATCAACGCTGCACAAACCTCACTTGTCACTTATAAGCGTTTGACTGATTTTTTTACTCCTTAATGAAGAGGAGGAAAGTTGAGTCGTGTTATTTCTTGGCTTCTTCCTCATTCCCCTCCGTCCTTAAAGTCGTTTTCCTCCATTACCTTAACTCCTCAAGGCTGGGAGAGGTCTACCTGCCCTCCAGGTAGACCTCTCCCAGCCTTGTCTCTCCCTCTCTAAGACAGGGAGAGATGATTACCTCTAAGGTAATCGAAGCGAAATTTGTCGCAGGTAACCTGTAACTGAGATCTGGAAAGACAGAAGGCCTAAGAAGAGTGACAGCGTGACCAAAGACTTCTAAATTTTGGTTACTAATCACCTGTCGTGGCCGTCATTGGTTCGTCAGCTTCTCCCCCACCTTCACATGTTTTCCTGAGACACCATTGTTCCAGCACCACACGCAAGCTGTAATCCTGTCATAACACCGGCACCTCCGAACGGGTCATCCTATGACGAAGGCTCGGGTCAGGTGGTTTTCCCTGATAATAAACCAACAATAGAGTGAATGAACTCTGAACGGACCATCTTTCGATAAAGACTCATGTCAGGTGGTTTTCCCTGATTAATAAACCAACAATAAAGTGAATAAACTCCATGAGTCTTCTGCTACTTTTATCTTCCCTGGGGATAATCATTACGTTAAAATACCTTGCGATTAATGCATGAAATAAACTGTGTAACTTTCTAATTATAACTAATGTTCTTTTCGTAGTCATGTATTTGCAATTAAAGTTATTAAACGAATGCCTCAAAAATCATAATATGTACTTACTGAGGCAGTGAAAACTGTCAGTTTTAGAAATGCAGTGCCTTTAAATGCCAGGATATTTAATACGTCGAGTGAAGAAATGCGAACTTTGGACCAAAAAAACTGCTGCTTCACTGGGAAGTTCAATATCTGCCCCTCGGAAAAGTGTTGACTTGGTTTTATGAGTAACGAGAAGACAAAAGTCTTCTTTATCAGAGAGTCTTTGTAAACTATCACACAACATGAGTAACAAAAGTTGGATACAGATGGCGGTATACTTGTTTGATATATTTCCATATCTCAGTGAACTTAAAGTTTCAGTTCAAGGTATTAATGGAGTATATTTCAAAACTCAGGGTAAAATGAGTGTAATATATATATATATATATATATATATATATATATATATATATATATATATATATATATATAAACACTGATCTCTGGCTGAAGGAGACTCGAACCTACGAACCTTGGAACAAGGTACGCAGTGCTTTACCAATCTACCCACACTGAACCAATACCTTGGAGTCCAGCTTGCGCTAGACTTTGATCCAAGGCAGCCAGCTTTCAGGCTGGTGCATGCAGGGGATGAGATGAAAAGCTGTAAGCCTTCTCCCTGAAAGCTGGCTGCCTTGGATCAAAGTCTAGTGCAAACTGGACTCCAAGGTATTGGTCCAGTGTGGGTAGATTGGTAAAGCACTGCGTACCTTGTTCCAAGGTTCGTAGGTTCGAGTCTCCTTCAGCCAGAGATCAGTGTTTATAATATATATATATATATATATATATATATATATATATATATATATATAATATTTATATTTTTAACTCAAGAAATCGTAATGACACGATTGTAGACAAACCACGATAAGGGTGGGAATTGAACTCGCGGCTAGCAAGTCGTTAAACTAGGTCTGGAGTTTTACGACTCACTCGCCGCGAGTTCAATCCCCGCCCGTACCGTGGTTTGATTCATATCCTTATTATTTACTTCATAAACAGGTTAAGAAAATTAAATTTTCTTTCGTTTTTCATACGAATTTCTAAACTTATATAAGATTTATATGAAACTTATACAACTGTATTTGCACATTTCATATTTTATATAAAGTAGTAAAAATTGAGATTTATTGCCATTTGTATTGTATTATTAAAATTTTGCCTATTGGTCAAAGATCCGGGACTGTTTTTTGTTTTTTAACGTGAAGGATACATGACTTAAAACATTTTGAAAACCTCTGGACTAGAGTGCCATACAACCTTGGCACGATGCTATTCAGGAACACATTTGAGTACAATTTTTTTTTTGGTGGCATGTACTCACGCCTATATCTACTCAGTTTGACTGGTATAGACCAGCAGTCATTCTGTCGTGACTTGTCATTGGGTCAGTGGGAACCATAATGGCATTTGAGTAGACACCGCTGTATATACCTGCAATATCAATGACTCAGTCATTATATGGAATAGAATTATATCATAGGGTTTTCTAAATTCAATTAAACTGCAGACAAGTAACTCATAAGATAAGACGAAGTCATGTTCCTGTTGGCTATTACGGGGATGAACTTGTGCTTGTTGAGCTCGTTCAGTTGTACGACTTCAAATTCCTCCTCGGGAATAGTGTTAACATCCCAGAGTGGAAGATCCCGAGGCTTGAGGTGAGAGTAGGAGGAGAAAGGAACTCCCACTAGGTAAAGGGTAGTGTAGATCGAGAAGGCTAAGATGCTTACCCCCTCGTGCTGGCCCTGATCTGAGAGCGCCCATCCACCCACACAGTTCTGCTAAAGCAAAAAATTGGCTCGCATCTGGTAAGCCTTGCTCAATGGCATCCAACCTGTAGTAGAACACATAGAGCTGCTCGGGGTTATGTTTGGGTATGAAATCCGCAGAGCACGGATTACCTAGCAGTGGAGTGGCTAAGGTAAGGTTGTTAGAGAGATCATGGCGCCAGGTAGGAAGCTGAAGCCTGGAAACTCCCACCAGAGGCACCCCAGACTCCTGGACCACTGGCCTGTTTAGAAAGATCACCTCTACCATCAGAGGAACAGAGTTGGTACCCATCCCATAGTGTGAACTCCGACCCACTTCTGGAAACACGCATTCTCTTCCTCGCCTGACATTCGAGTAGAGCCAAAAATCATAGATTATGATGTTCGTGTTATGCTCGTCTTTCGGCCACTTGATCAAGGCTTCGTGGATAAACTGGGGCGTCACCGCGTACCCCCACATGACCTGGACGGAACCTCGGAAAACTCGTGAGGGATTGAAAGTTCGGTTAGAAAAACCTGTGTTGGAGAAAGCATTGATGCAGTAGATAGTTGGGTCAGCGTGGAGCAGCCAGAGAGTCTGGCTCATGAAGGAGAAGAAGTCTGGTGAGACTTCGACGTCTTCATCTAGGAATATGACCGCTGGAGCGTCAGGGAAGGTGTTGACTGCTAATTGGAAGACACTGCGGTAGTAGCGGAAGAGCTTTGCATTGTCTTGTCCCTGGACGGCAACTTTGGTGAAGTTGAGGTCGAGGAGACGAAGAAGTTGTGTTGTGGACTGCGGGGCATCACCGAGGATAACGAGAACGTTGTGTTGTTGTGCCCCTGGCGTGGCAAGCAGGGTGGTGAGGGTGTGGTAGAGGTACTGATGTCTATTACCTGCTGTCACCACCACACCCACCCCAGCAAGGGCCGTCTGCTGACCCACAGGGGGAGCAGAGGGCAATGGTAATGGGTCTGGGGACCACTCATCACAGAGCCCACCCATGGCACCATGAGCCTCGCAGTACTGCCAGCGCTCTTCTTCAACCCTCTGGTTCTTGTTGGAGTTCCATGGCATCGGCATGTGTGACAGAGGAAGGATGAGGTGCGCCTTGTGTTGAGCGATGCCTTGAAGAATAACCGTCTCTGAGATGGTGCGTCCACCCTTGATGAACACCCACGTCCAACGAGCGCTGGGCATGAGGTAAAGGGCAAAGACTGAGCCCAAATGGGCAAGGCTTTGGGCAGCGTGACGAAGTCCAATAGTGCCAAACACTGACACCGTCATCACCACTACCCGCCCCGGTGCCACGCGCTCCAAGTGCCACTCCAGGTCCGCCCAGTGAGCCCAATACAACTCAAGTGGGAACACCTGTAGAGAACACATACAGTATTAGTATTTATTATGGAAAACATGGCAAACTTGGCTAGATCTTGATTTAGCACTCTATGACCATTTTCAGTCTTGTGAATACACCAAATCAATGTAGTGGAATTTTTTTACGCAGCTCAATTTGGTCTGAACATACCAATGTTTAAAGTTATTATAAGCATAGAGGAGTATCAAACCCCGACTGGTCACATATCATCTAGAAACACTATTTAAATAAGCCATTTATGGCTTTTTGTGCGAGTTATTCTCAGTTAAATCACAATCTCTCATACTTGTATGAATTTACTGTTTGTGTGCTCAGTTTAGCAGCATTCCTCGAGCTGTGGTCGGCAATGATTTGCTAAGGCTTCTATAGTCACCGAGGTGCCTCTTGGGCCCTCGGTGAAGTGTTAGTGTTGTTTCCTAGTTTGGGGTTTTCATAGGAAGCTCTTTTGTACTTTTTTGTTTTATTATTAGTGCGATTCATAGAATGCAAAAGATAAGAGCACTCGAAGAAGAACACACCACTTAGAACACTCAACAAAGAACACTCCACTTAGAACACTCAACAAAGAACACATCACTTAGAACACTCAACAAAGAACACTCCACTTAGAACACTCAACAAAGAACACTCCACTTAGAACACTCAACAAAGAACACTCCAATTAGAACACTCAACAAAGAACACTCCACTTAGAACACCCAATAAAGAACACTCCACTTAGAACACTCAACAAAGAACACTCCACTTAGAACACTCAACAAAGAACACTCCACTTAGAACACTCAACAAAGAACACTCCACTTAGAACACCCAACAAAGAACACTCCACTTAGAACACCCAACAAAGAACACTCCACTTAGAACACTCAACAAAGAACACTCCACTTAGAAAAACCCAACAAAGAACACTCCAATTAGAACACCCAACAAAGAACACTCCACTTAGAACACCCAATAAAGAACACTCCACTTAGAACACTCAACAAAGAACACTCCACTTAGAACACTCAAAAGAACACTCCACTTAGAACACTCAACAAAGAACACTCCACTTAGAACACCCAACAAAGAACACTCCACTTAGAACACCCAACAAGAACACTCCACTTAGAACACTCAACAAAGAACACTCCACTTAGAACACTCAACAAAGAACACTCCACTTAGAACACCCAATAAAGAACACTCCACTTAGAACACCCAACAAAGAACACTCCACTTAGAACACTCAATAAAGAACACTCCACTTAGAACACCCAACAAAGAACACTCCACTTAGAACACCCAATAAAGAACACTCCACTTAGAACACTCACAAAGAACACTCCACTTAGAACACTCAACAAAGAACACTCCACTTAGAACACCAATAAAGAACACTCCACTTAGAACACCCAACAAAGAACACGCCACTTAGAACACTCAACAAAGAACACTCCACTTAGAACACCCAACAAAGAAACACTCCACTTAGAACACCCAACAAAGAACACTCCACTTAGAACACTCAACAAAGAACACTCCACTTAGAACACCCAACAAAGAACACTCCACTTAGAACACCCAATAAAGAACACTCCACTTAGAACACTCAACAAAGAACACTCCACTTAGAACACCCAACAAAGAACACTCCACTTAGAACACCCAACAAAGAACACTCCACTTAGAACACCCAACAAAGAACACTCCACTTAGAACACTCAACAAAGAACACTCCACTTAGAACACTCAACAAAGAACACATCACTTAGAACACCCAACAAAGAACACTCCACAGAGAACAGTCTAACTACTTCATGAACATTTCAACATTCTAAGTTATGTATTTTATTTCGCTATTTTAGCCTTTAACTTTTAAATATTTTACATGCGTAAACACACACATAACCAGCACATAGAAGAAAGAAGTTTATGACGACGTTTCGGTCCGATTTGGACCACTGAGGAAGCAAGTAATGTATATAGGAGAGGACATTCCTGTCCTCCTCTCCAATATACACTGGCTTCCTTACCTTCGTGCGTTAGTGTGACTAATCAATGGTCCAAATCGGACCGAAGCGTCGTCATAAGTCTCATTCTCGTATATACAGGTTATTTCACTGGAGTGAAGACGTCCTCTGGGATCCTATTTGCTTGGACATCCTCCTCTTTTCCGAAACCTTGCAAGCTCCTGATAATGTGTTGATTGCAACACATGGCCCAGCCCCCAGAGTTATCATTTCCCTCCTTTTTTCGCGTGGTTTTTCGTTATTTATTTATATATATATTTTTTATTTATATTTGATAATATTTTTATATTTTATATTTTATTTTATATATATTTTAATATATATAAAACCTAACGAAAAAAAAAAATATTTCATTGTGTTTTTGTATTATTTTAATTTTTTGTAAACCCTTTTCTAGTTGGATTTGGCTTAAAATTAAAATTTCGGTTGTTATAAAAAGGGTTTGGTTTAAATTTTTTTAAGGTTCTTTTGGGTTTCAGAACTTTTAATTTTTTTTTCGTTAACTAAATGAAAAAAAGTCTTTAAAAATTAGAAGGAAAATTTTTTGAAGGTTTTTAAAATTTTAAAAGAGTTTATCCCGAAATTTACCAATTTTTTCCCATTCGGACGATTTATAGTATATATATTGTTTATTTATGTGGCAATGTTGCAAGTGTTAAAGGGGGGTTGGAAAGGGAGGTTACTGAAACAAATGAAGGGTTTTTTTTGAGGATGTGAGGCTCAAGTTAGAGTATGTAGGAAAGAGGGAAAATTTTTTTTCCCAGTAAAGTAGGCCTTAGACAAGGATGTGTGATGTCACCGTGGTTTTTTAAATATATTTATAGATGGGGTTGTAAGAGAAGTAAATGCGGGGTCTTGGCAAGGGCGTGGAGTTAAAAGATAAAGAATCACACACAAAGTGGGAGTTGTCACAGCTGCTCTTTGCCGATGACACTGTGCTCTTGGGAGATTCTGAAGAGAAGTTGCAGAGATTGGTGGATGAATTTGGTAGGGTGTGCAAAAGAAGAAAATTAAAGTGAATCAGGAAAGAGAAAGGTTATGAGGATAACAAAAGATTAGGTGATGAAAGATTGAATATCAGATTGGAGGGAGAGAGTATGGAGGAGGTGAAACGTATTCAGTTTATTTGGGAGTGGACGTGTCAGCGGATGGGTCATGAAAGATGAGGGGGAATCATAGAATTGATGAGGGAAAAAGGTGAGTGGTGCACTTAGGAGTCTGTGGAGACAAAGAACTTTGTCCTTGGAGGCAAAGAGGGGATGTATGAGAGTATAGTTTTACCAACGCTCTTATATGGGTGTGAAGCGTGGGTGATGAATGTTGCAGCGAGGAGGGCTGGAGGCAGTGGAGATGCATGTCTGAGGGCATGTGTGGTGTGAATATAATGCAGAGAATTTCGTAGTTTGGAAGTTAGGAGGAGGTGCGGGATTACACAAAACTGTTTTCCAGAGGCTGAGGAAGGGTTGTTGAGGTGGTTCAGGACATGTAGATAGAATGGAGGCGAAACAGAATGACTTCATGAGTTATCAGTCTGACGTGGAAGGAAGTCGGGTAGGGTTCGGGCCTAGAAGGGTGGAGGGAGGGGGTAAAGGAGGGTTTTGTGTTCGAGGCTTGGACATCCAGCCGGCATTCGTGAGCGAGTTTGATAGGAGTGAATGGAGAACCAATGTTTTTAAATACTTGACGTGCTTTGGAGTGTGAGCAAAAGTTAACATTTATGAAGGGATTCAGGGAAACCGGCAGCCGGAGCTTGAGCCTGCGAAGTGGAAGTACAGTGCCTGCACTCTGAAGGAGGGGTGGTTAATGTTGCAGTTTAAAAACTGTAGTGTAAAGCACCCTCTGGCAAGACAGTGATGGAGTGATGATGGTGAAAGAGTTTTTTTTCTTTTCGGCCACCCTGCCTTGTGGGAATCCGGCCGGTGTGGATAATAATAAAAAAATCTTATAAAAATCTATATATAAATAGATAATTATCATATTTATATATCTAAAGATATAAATATATAATATATAAATATTATATTCAATAAAAATAACGGGAGTACCACCTCTAGAACTGTCATGACCCTCATCCTCAGAGAAAAAAAATATATTAATATATATATATATATTAATAAATTATTATAATATAATATATAAAATATAATAATTATATTATATATATACATACAATACATACATGTATAAATGCATGCAGTATGAATCCCTGTTATTCAATAAAATCTGTCAATCAGCTACTGGTCACAAACAAATCTGATTTCTCCATATTACGCTGTAAATTCATGTCATTTACTTATGCCTTTGTGGTGGATGAACCGGTTCTGATGCCTTTCTCTATAAGGAAAATGAAAGGCCGATTTTTTGATTTCAATTCAGTCTATGACTGTAAAACACAATATTTGTATTAACTTACCCGGAAAACACACCTAATTACCAATAATTGATAAATACAAACGCATCATAGGATATATATTGTATACAGACAGGTGTGTATATTTATCAATGGATATACATTGAATGTACTTTAAATCTGATTTTAGAATTAAATGTTTATTGATATTGTATGTACGGTGAAAGACCTCGTTACTTGACTGACGTAATATCAAAAGATATATAACTAACAAAGCAAATTAAACACACACGTACATATATATCTTTTGTACCATATTATGTAATAAAATATTTTCTATTGGTATAAAAAAAATATGAAAAAGATGGGGTTGGTAGGGAATGATTATAATATTCTCTTGAAGCCTTTTTATCCACTTCTCCCGGGCTGTGGGAACCTACAATTATTACACATGGAGGTGGACCCCATCCCGATATATATATATATATATATATATTAATATAATATATATTTATATAATAGATATAATAGATATATATATATATATATAATATAGTATGTTTTATTTAAAGACAAAAGACATTGTCCAAACAGTCACAAAAATACAACAGAAAGTAAAAACAACTATAGGTACTCAGAGCTGCATCTCGAACACCTACGTCCCAGCTCCCCGGCGTGTGCCGCGTGCCCAGAATGCAGCAGGCATTTCCTCTCGGGAACGCAACACTGAGTCTCTGAAAGAGGAAGCTGGTCGCCCTGTGGTCCTTGGTTCTATGATGAGCTTTTCACCCAGCTCTTTGAGGAACTTTAGAGCACACTTGCCCCATGCTCCAAGGGTCTCCGACCCTATTGGAATGAAGTTATAGCAAGGGGGAAGGTCTTCATATTTTCGGATCTTCTGGGTCTCCCTGTGGCTGGCAGCTCCACCCCCTTCCACTACAGAGTATGGCAAGTAGGTGTCTGCCAATGTGGCAGCACAGGTGTAGTCTCAGGCAATCTGCTTTCCATCCTTCCAGGGTAGCATAGTGGCTCCATCAGGACGCTTTTGACTTCCATCAGACCTCTGTACTTGGGGTTCCCGTTGAGCTGGGTAACGGGCTGTGGCGAGGCTTCTCTTTATTATGTCATTGATCTCCTCATGTCTGGCATACTTCCCTTCTGCTGTGTGGCACACGAGACCATGAAGTCCGAATTGATCAGCTGTCGCCCTGCCGCAAATACACCTATGTTCGGTGAAAATGGGGGCGGCTAGGCGAAGAGCAACACCAATCCGAATGGCCTGTGGGTCGAGACGGGTGCCCAGGGAGGAATTGGGAACAGCTAACAGGAAATCTCCTGAGTGTGGTGCCTTCATTGCCAGGAGACGAGCTTTGTTCTTTCCTGAAGCGTTGGAGAGCATTGTGTTGGCGATTTTTTCCATGATCAGTTTGTCCCAGTGGGACTGTTTGTGCTGTTTGGGAGGAGCTGGTCTACTGGAGGAGTCTGTAAGGGTGTCCCACCGAATCGCTGCTTCAGTAAACCTGGGGTCTTGAGCTCCTACCATGTATATATATTATATATATATATATATATATATATATATATATATATATATATTATATATATATGTATATATATGTATATATATATATATATATATATATATATATATATATATATGTATATATATATATATATATATATATATATATATATATATATATATATATATATATATATATATATATATATATATATATATTATATATATACAAATGAATTTAGTGCGTCAGTGTTTTACGATACGATTTACAAACAGACCAACCAATAACTACACGCGATGCACCGCTGTTTACACAGTGTCATAAACTACGAGAATACAAGATTTACACACAACTGTAAACACCAGTAAGGCCCGAGTGTTTGCAAACAATTTCAAATGACCTTGTTTTCATTTTTAATTAATACATGAATTACATTAATTGATAATTATAAGGACACCTTTTATTATTATTATTATTATTATTATTATTATTATTATTATTATTATTATTATTATTATTATTATGAGGATATGCAATGCTAACACGAGAGGATATAACCTACCCAAAACTGCCATCTGGTGGTCACTTACCCTGTGGAAGATTAGAGCTGGTTTCCTTGATTGATTACGGAGAGGGTGATCCCTTCACCCTGAGTGGGTGGGGTGTGTGGGTGAGCCTCTTCTGGGGGTAGGGTGAGTCCTTGGGTGATAAAAGGGGGAAGGGTGTCACAGGTGTTAGGGTGAGTATATGGGTGGCACCTTTCCACCTTTAAACCCCACCCATTCGTTGCTGACCACACCTCCATACTGATACTACTACTACTGTAGTTACTACTACTATTACTACTGTTACTATTGTAGTTACTACTGCTACTGTTGCTGATACTACTCCTGCTGCCGCTGCTGCTACTGCTGCTGTCACTACTAACAATGTTATTACTACTGCTACTACTACTACTACTACTACTGCTACTACTACTACTACTACTACTACTACTACTACTACTACTACTACTACTACTACTACTACTACTACTACTACTACTACTAATACTGTAGCGTTTATTGTTTCTGGAGATCTTGTTTGAACCATTTCTGGAACCATCAGAGAAAAGCCTTTTTACTAAACTATGCGTTTAGCTCACACAAAAACTATATGTTAATAAACTATAAAAATAAATTAGTAATAAAAATTATCAATAAAAATGTTTATAATAAAGCAACTTAAGCCAGAAAAGGTATTTATGCTCCCCCGTCTTTACTTGCCTTGCTTGGTAGGGTGTCTGGTGGGGGTCAGGGGTTGCTGGTGTGTGGTGCTGGTAGTGGTGGTGGTGGTGGTAGTTGTAGGTAATGATGATCACCTGTGCCACAACTGTGGCAGCTGCCACAGCTGCCATTATGCCAATACACGACCTACACCGGTTTCCCATCTCCAGTGCATATTATCACAGTACGCATCTGAAAGACGTTTATGATTATTATTATTATTATTATTATTATTATTATTATTATTATTATTATTATTAGGATGATTATTATTATTATTATTATTATTATTATTATTATTATTATTATTATTACTATTAATAATAATAACAATACTAATATTATTATTATTATTAATATTATTATTATTATCATCAACTGAAACAATCATCATTTAAAACATTAAAAAGCTCATTCATACTTTTATTTATTTATATTTCAAAATATTCTTCCCTCAGAAAAACTAAACTAATCTTACTGAAAAAAAATAATGAAAAAAATTGAAAATGACAAAATAATTAAGTGGAAAATGTGGCAATGGAAAATAAATTTTATATAAACAGTTTGTGTGTTGTGTAGTGTTGATGTGTAGCACTGTGTTGTGTAGTGTTGATGTGTAGCACTGTTGTTTGTGTAGTGTTGATGTGTAGCACTGTGTTGTGTAGTGTTGATGTGTAGCACTGTGTTGTGTAGTGTTGATGTGTAGCACTGTGTTGTGTAGTGTTGATGTGTAGCACTGTGTTGTGTAGTGTTGATGTGTAGCACTGTGTGTTGTGTAGTGTTGATGTGTAGCACTGTGTGTTGTGTAGTGTTGATGTGTAGCACTGTGTTGTGTAGTGTTGATGTGTAGCACTGTGTTGTGTAGTGTTGATGTGTAGCACTGTGTTGTGTAGTGTTGATCGTTAGCACTGTGTTGTGTAGTGTTGATGTGTAGCACTGTGTGTTGTGTAGTGTTGATGTGTAGCACTGTGTTGTGTAGTGTTGATGTGTAGCACTGTGTTTGTGTAGTGTTGATGTGTAGCACTGTGTTTGTGTAGTGTTGATGTGTAGCACTGTGTTGTGTAGTGTTGATGTGTAGCACTGTGTGTTGTGTAGTGTTGATGTGTAGCACTGTGTTGTGTAGTGTTGATGTGTAGCACTGTGTGTTGTGTAGTGTTGATGTGTAGCACTGTGTGTTGTGTAGTGTTGATGTGCAGCACTGTGTTGTGTAGTGTTGATGTGTAGCACTGTGTGTTGTGTAGTGTTGATGTGTAGCACTGTGTTGTGTAGTGTTGATGTGTAGCACTGTGTTGTGTAGTGTTGATGTGTAGCACTGTGTTGTGTAGTGTTGATGTGTAGCACTGTGTTGTGTAGTGTTGATGTGTAGCACTGTGTGTTGTGTAGTGTTGATGTGTAGCACTGTGTTGTGTAGTGTTGATGTGTAGCACTGTGTGTTGTGTAGTGTTGATGTGTAGCACTGTGTTTGTGTAGTGTTGATGTGTAGCACTGTTGTTGTGTAGTGTTGATGTGTAGCACTGTGTTGTGTAGTGTTGATGTGTAGCACTGTGTTGTGTAGTGTGATGTGTAGCACTGTGTGTTGTGTAGTGTTGATGTGTAGCACTGTGTTGTGTAGTGTGATGTGTAGCACTGTGTGTTGTGTAGTGTTGATGTGTAGCACTGGTGTTGTGTAGTGTTGATGTGTAGCACGTGTGTTGTGTAGTGTTGATGTGTAGCACTGTGTTGTGTAGTGTTGATGTGTAGCACTGTGTTTGTGTAGTGTTGATGTGTAGCACTTGTGTTGTGTAGTGTTGATGTGTAGCACTGTGTGTTGTGTAGTGTTGATGTGTAGCACTGTGTGTTGTGTAGTGTTGATGTGTAGCACTGTGTTGTGTAGTGTTGATGTGTAGCACTGTGTGTTGTGTAGTGTTGATGTGTAGCACTGTGTGTTGTGTAGTGTTGATGTGTAGCCCTGTGTTGTGTAGTGTTAATGTGTAGCACTGTGTTGTGTAGTGTTAATGTGTAGCACTGTGTGTTGTGTAGTGTTGATGTGTAGCACTGTGTGTTGTGTAGTGTTGATGTGTAGCACTGTGTTGTGTAGTGTGATGTGTAGCACTGTGTGTTGTGTAGTGTTGATGTGTAGCACTGTGTTGTGTAGTGTTGATGTGTAGCACTGTGTGTTGTGTAGTGTTATGTGTAGCACTGTGTGTTGTGTAGTGTTGATGTGTAGCACTGTGTTGTGTAGTGTTGATGTGTAGCACTGTGTTGTGTAGTGTTGATGTGTAGCACTGTGTTGTGTAGTGTTGATGTGTAGCACTGTGTGTTGTGTAGTGTTGATGTGTAGCACTGTGTTTGTGTAGTGTTGATGTGTAGCACTGTGTGTTGTGTAGTGTTGATGTGTAGCACTGTGTTGTGTAGTGCTGATGTGTAGCACTGTTGTTGTGTAGTGTTGATGTGTAGCACTGTGTTGTGTAGTGTGATGTGTAGCACTGTGTTGTGTAGTGTTGATGTGTAGCACTGTGTGTTGTGTAGTGTGATGTGTAGCACTGTGTTTGTGTATGTTGTTTGATGTTGTGTAGCACTGTGTGTTGTGTAGTGTTGATGTGTAGCACTGTGTTGTGTAGTGCTGATGTGTAGCACTGTGGTTGTGTAGTGTTGATGTGTAGCACTGTGTGTTGTGTAGTGTGATGTGTAGCACTGTGTGTTGTGTGTAGTGTTGATGTGTAGCACTGTGTTGTGTAGTGTTGATGTGTAGCACTGTGTGTTTGTGTAGTGTTGATGTGTAGCACTGTGTGTTGTGTAGTGTTGATGTGTAGCCCTGTGTTGTGTAGTGTTAATGTGTAGCACTGTGTTGTGTAGTGTTAGATGTGTAGCACTGTGTGTTGTGTAGTGTTGATGTGTAGCACTGTGTGTTGTGTAGTGTTGATGTGTAGCACTGTGTTGTGTAGTGTTGATGTGTAGCACTGTGTTTGTGTAGTGTTGATGTGTAGCACTGTGTGTGTAGTGTTGATGTGTAGCACTGTGTGTTGTGTAGTGTTAATGTGTAGCACTGTGTGTTGTGTAGTGTTGATGTGTAGCACTGTGTCGTGTAGTGTTGACGTGTAGCACTGTGTTGTGTAGTGTTGATGTGTAGCACTGTGTTGTGTAGTGTTGATGTGTAGCACTGTGTGTTGTGTAGTGTTGATGTGTAGCACATGTGTGTGTTGTGTAGTGCTGATGTGTACCACTGTGTGTTGTGTAGTGTTGATGTGTAGCACTGTGTTGTGTAGTGTTGATGTATAGCACTGTGTGTTGTGTAGTGTTGATGTGTAGCACTGTGTTTTTGTAGTGCTGATGTGTAGCACTGTGTGTGTGTAGTGTTGATGTGTAGCACTGTGTTGGTTGTGTAGTTGTGATGTAGTGTAGCACTGGTGCTGTGTAGTGTTGATGTGTAGCACTGTGTGTGTGTAGTGTTGATGTGTAGCACTGTGTGTTGTGTAGTGTTGATGTGTAGCACTGTGTTGTGTAGTGTTGATGTGTAGCACTGTGTTGTGTAGTGCTGATGTGTAGCACTGTGTGTTGTGTAGTGCTGATGTGTAGCACTGTGTTGTGTAGTGTTGATGTGTAGCACTGTGTTGTGTAGTGTTGATGTATAGCACTGTGGTTTGTAGTGTTGATTTGTAGCACTGTGTTGTGTAGTGTTGATGTGTAGCACTGTGTGTTGTGTAGTGCTGATGTGTAGCACTGTGTGTTGTGTAGTTGTTGATGTGTAGCACTGTGTTGTGTAGTGTTGATGTGTAGCACTGTGTTGTGTAGTGTTGATTTGTAGCACTGTGTTGTGTAGTGCTGATGTGTAGCACTGTGTTGTGTAGTGTTGATGTGTAGCACTGTGTGTTGTGTAGTGCTGATGTGTAGCACTGTGTGTTGTGTAGTGTTGATGTGTAGCACTGTGTTGTGTAGTGCTGATGTGTAGCACTGTGTTGTGTAGTGTTGATGTGTAGCACGTGTGTTGTTGTGGAGTGTTTTGATGTGTAGCACTGTGTGTTGTGTAGTGTTGATTGTAGCACTGTGTGTTGTGTAGTGCTGATGTGTAGCACTGTGTTGTGTAGTGTTGATGTGTAGCACTGTGTTGTGTAGTGTTGATGTATAGCACTGTGTGTTGTGTAGTGTTGATTTGTAGCACTGTGTGTTGTGTAGTGATGATGTGTAGCACTGTGTTGTGTAGTGTTGATGTGTAGCACTGTGTTGTGTAGTGCTGATGTGTAGCACTGTGTTGTGTAGTGTTGATGTGTAGCACTGTGTTGTGTAGTGTTGATGTGTAGCACTGTGTTGTGTAGTGCTGATGTGTAGCACTGTGGTTGTGTAGTGTTGATGTGTAGCACTGTGTTTGATAGTGTTGATGTGTAGCACTGTGTTGTGTAGTGCTGATGTGTAGCACTGTGTTGAGTAGTGTTGAAGTGTAGCACTGTGCTGTGTAGTGCTGATGTGTAGCACTGTGTTGTGTAGTGTTGATGTGTAGCACTGTGTTGTGTAGTGCTGATGTGTAGCACTGTGTTGTGTAGTGTTGATGTGTAGCACTGTGTTGTGTAGTGTTGATGTGTAGCACTGTGTTGTGTAGTGCTGATGTGTAGCACTGTGTGTTGTGTAGTGCTGATGTGTAGCACTGTGTTGTGTAGTGTTATGTATAGCACTGGTGTGTGTTGTGTAGATGTGTTTGAGTTTGTAGCACTGTGTGTTGTGTAGTGTTGATGTGTAGCACTGTGTTGTGTAGTGTTGATGTGTAGCACTGTGTTGTGTAGTGTTGATGTGC